TGAGCTGTCAATCGTTATGAATTAATGCGTTTTATTGTGAAAAAGTCAATGAATCTGAAACATGGAGTAATAATGAACGCCTGCCTGCAGACCTGTGATGGTTTACCTGTAATGTTTTTGTGATATGGCACTGGGAGCCCATGGTCACCTCGCAGTACGGGTTACTTTTTCCTGGAAGAACAGAAATTATGTATCACCAATAACTGAAAATCAACGTTTTTCCTTTTGCAAATGTAGTTAAAAGGAGTTCACAGGTACCGTGGGAGCGACAGGGTTTGAGCTCAATCCCCTCCACAATGTTGACCATCAGTCTCCCGATACCTGTAGCCCTCTGGGACCGTACTGAGGCAGAGACACGGAGGAGTCAGAGGACATTTCTGATCATCGTCAATCTGAGGATGTTTATTTCAGTGGGACAGGTACCTAGATACGCTTTCTCCCGCTTCTTCTTCTCCGTCTCTATGAAGAGCTCTGAAGCTGCCTTGATTTTCTGAACCCACGCCGTCCTGAATAAACACACACACACACGTTTGGAGACTAGCAATGACACACACAGCTGAAGACACTGCTAACTAAGATTCAGTGTGACTTTCAGGTTTGAGAGTTTGACTGCTTTTCGCTCAGCCTGGCCCGTGAAGCGTCTCACCTTTCGTTGATGCTCTCGGCTCGCAGCGTGTAAACTCGGTCTATGTGGGAGATGTGGAACAGAGGCTCGTCTCCCGACGGGTCCGTCGGCAGCTTCACCAACACCTCGTTTAGGAAGATTGGCTGAGAGTGAACACAAACCTTAGTTAGGACACGTTTACCCAGCTCACACTACATAACCCAGGGCAGGTTTAACAGCGAGTCTCTCTGGAGAAGTGTAGTCTTACCGTCTTGTACATGCGGTACTGCAGGTGCGTCTTTGCAGAGAAGACTTTGTCCGAACCCGACGAGCCCAGAGGTTTGGTCACCTGTGAGGGTCATTTTTTAAATTGATGGATTAAAAGATGGATTTAAGGCAAGAAACGAAACAAGTAAACTGTACAGAGGTGCAGGACTCACCTGTGTGAGCAGCAGGAAGTCGTTGAACAGGAAGCCGTAGAGCTCTTTGCTGCTTTTGGCTTTGAACAGCTTCCCGCTGTGGAGGAACTTCCTGGGACCCAGACAGTTGGTGACTGAGTTAAACACCAGTTGCTGAGGGATACACAGGCAGATATCACTGCTGTTATTTCCTAATTAACCCACTTTCACGTAAAGATTGAACACTTAAACTGTGGGCCTTCTGACGGGCTTGGAAAGACGCAGGATGTTTATCATCCTTCAGA